GTGCCAGGAAACAGCACCGCCCCACCCTTGTCCTGCCACACTCAACATCAAAGGGACTGGGCACGGGCGTCATGTAAGCTCCTAGGCTGGGGGGGCGGCTGATGGCTAAGATGTGCCTGGCGATGGTCTGGCACCAAGAGCTGAGGAGAAGACCCACAAACAAGATGCGTGATCCAGAGCTCGGGGGAGACCTCAGTCACCACGGCGTAGACTGGGCCATGCTGGAGGGGGCCTGGACCAGACCATGAAACAGCAGTAGGAAGGAATCAAACTACAGCAAAAGCCAGACGAGCTGGGGGACCGGCAGATGGCATAGTGGTTACGTCACTGGACTCCCATATATCCTACTGTGATTCGAGTCCTGGACCCAGTGACTTAAAACTCACTCCAGGCACGTATGCATACATGTGTGCCTAAGATCCTGAGAGGAGAATGGAGGAGAAGGGATTGCAGTGTGGCCATCCCCTGGGGGGTTGATTCTTCGCTTTCTGTCTGTCTCTTTCTGTTTCTCTGGCCAGCGCACGCACCCTATAGAAAAAAAATATATCTCTGAAAAGAGAAAAGACAAAAAATTTTAAAAAGGTGGGTTGGGCTGAGGGTCGGCCCAGGGACAAGGAGTAAACAGCTTGGCCCTGAAGGACAAACCCAGGTGTCCAGGCCCTCCCGACGACAGGAAACCCCACATACCCCAGTGCGTTTCAAAGACCAGGCACCCGTCTGTGGGAGTGTTGGGTCCGAGGAAGGAAACAACCATCTATACTGCAGTCACCGTCACCTTCCCCTGAAGTCAGGGGGATCCCCACTTCCCAAAGGAGCCCTGGGAGTGGTCTGAGCCCCTCGTCCCAGTGGGACGAAGAGCTCTGGAGCCAGAGTTTCCACTGAGAGACTCAGCTGACCTACAGAGTCTGGGTAGCTCAGGAAGCCTGTCAGTAAAGTGAGGACAGGAACCAGCAGTTAGCGTAATGGCTATGTCGCTGGACTCCCACGTAGTCGACCGCGGTTCGAGTCCCGGACCTGGTGGCTTAAACTCACACTGGGCATGTGGGCGTGCGTGCCCAAGATCCCAAGAGGAGACTGGAGGAGAAGGGATTGCTGCATGGCCCACCCCTCTGGGGGGGTGATTTCTCGCTTTCTGTCTCCCTGTCTCTCTCTGTCTGGCAAGCGCACGTGCCCTATAGCAAAAACCTCTCCAAAAAATAAATAAATAAATAAATAAATAAAGTGAGGACCACCCCAGCAGCTTCTGGGGGCTGAGAGGGTGACATGAGAAATGAGTGTGAGCTACATAGCATGAGCTCAGTTAAAGCTGGCATGTGGAGGTGGGCCAGACAGATGGCCTGATCTGCACACTAGCTTCCTCAAAGACCTCCCCAGTTGCCTGGGCCTTCCGAGTCAAGTCTTAGCTCTTTCTCCTGGTCCTCCAGGGCACCCACACCTGGCCCACTCACCTTTCTTCAAGTTTGTTTATTTATTCCACGAGTGCAAGAGACAGGGAGAAGGTGAGAGAGACTGCACTCCCCACAGGGTCTCAGTGCCATGATCCACCCCAGGCTCTGCCAGCCATGGTCCATGGGCACATGTAAGCCCAGCGCTCTCAGGGACATCTCCAGACACGGACGAGGAACCTTCCCATGTGAGACTGCCTCACCGAGTGTCACATTCTACTGCTGCACCACTGTCTGGGCCTGAGACTAACTCACTTTGTTGTGGAGCACTCCTGCCCATTCAGGAATGACCAAGGGCAGGGTCTCGTCTTCTCTTCCACCAGACCCATCTCGCAGGAGGCAAGGACCACCTCTTCCTGGCACCAGGCCCTCAGGAATCTCTCAGGCATGTCTGTCAGATTGCACCCAGATTCTCCCAATAAGAACACAAAGCAGAACCATGGGGCCCAGCAGCTGGAGTGGAAGTTATGGTGGCTGGATCCCACATGGCCAACGGCCCAGTTCAAGTGCTGGACATGGCAGCTTGTGTGTATGTACGCCCAAATCCCAAGAGGAGAATGGAAAAGGGATTACAACATGCCTACCCCTGAGGGGGCTTTTTCACTTTCCTTCTCTCTCTCTCTCCCTCTCTCTCTCTGTCTCTCTCAGGCAAGCACATACACTCTATAGCCAAAGAAAGAACCAAGGAACCCCTCTGTGTAGCAAGAGCCTCCTCTGGCAGCAAGAGCGCCCCCTTACGGAGTAGGAGAGGAGAGCACAGACAATGTGGGGACCCGGCCCGCAGTTCTGCCGCATTCTGGGCAGAGGCCAATGGGGCCTGGTAAGGCAGGCACAGCCTTACCATGTGGGCCTGTTACTCTCCCTCCCTCCAGACTGGTTCTTCACACTGGGGGCCGTGGAGCATTCCAGTGCGTCCACTCACCTCCTCTGGGCCTCTGCCCTCCTCTCTCCCCAGCTGCAGGCTCAACCATGCACGGGTTCTCTTCCTTTCCCAGGCTGGGAACACATGGAAACGCTCAGGTTGAAACCCTCGTTTAACAGGCAAGAAGCATGATTTCCAGAGAAGAAGGGGCTTATTGAGATCATGCACCTGGTTCCAAATTACAGGAGAGAGCCAAGGCCTCCTGACCCCCAATCCATGGTCTTAGGGTGCCCTGGGGTGAGTCCCAAAGCCACTCCAGATAAACACAGATTTCAAGGAAGCAGCATCTTTCCATCAAACCCAGCGGCCCTCAGCCACTGGGCTCCCTGAGCGGGAATCGAGAGCAGCTGGCTGGCCCAGTTCCAGCGTGAGTAAGGAGAGATGAACCACCTACATCAGGAGTTAGTACGCCCTGCCCGAGGGCAGGGGGCTGGCGCCCATGACCACCAAGGTTCCAGTCCCTGCCAGGCCTGGGAGACAGGGCTCTGGAGCAGGAAAGGGGCAGCCGGGGTCATGGCGTATTGAGTAACAGCAGAAAATCCTGAAAGACAGATGTGAAAGCAACTGCCCTGCCAACCAAAAGTCCTGATTTCCTTTGGAAAACTTGGCAGTTGGGCCACCTCAGCGGTTGCCTGTCCTTCCCTGCACCCAGCCCACAGCGACCCACGGAAGGGCAGGGAGGAAGACCAGGCCGCTCCCAGCAAATCCTGGAAGGAAACTCCACGATGCCACAAAAGGAAAACGGCGGCTCACCGCACTGCTGGTCACTTTTTCATTTAATCATGTCTGAGGTGCATGTATTCTATTCCACACAAGTAAACTGGGAAGGAAAAAGTTATATATATAGTTTCCTACAGGGCATGTGCACTTGCTGGAGAGACAGAGCTAAAACTATTCCCCGGGAGGATGGCCACACTGCAATCCCTTCTTCTCCATTCTCCTCTCGGGATTTGGGGTATGCACACACATGCACCCAGCATGGTTTTTAAGCTGCTGGGTCCAGGACTCAAACTGCACAGTTGGCCACGTGGGATCCAGCTGCCTTAATCCCTATACCATCTGCTGCCCCTCCCTCTTACATGCTTATCATTGTGAGCTCATCAATCTCATCACCATTTCATGTCCTGCCCATATTGTATAACTAATATACATCTGAATTTTTTAAATTTAATTTCCCATTGCCAAGGAAATACTTGCAAGTTGGAGCTGACCAAAAAGAACGTAAAACATTAAAGTTTCCTCTTAGTCAAGATATTTTTCAGGTCTTGGAGTAATTCTAGAGCTAAAGTAGAATCAACTTTAGATTCTGAATACATACCAACTTGTCAGCAACTGGAAGAAAAAAAAATATATATATATATTTTTTTTTTTGGAAAGGTTTTTGCTATAGGGTATGTGCGCTCAGGGATGGCCATGCCGCAATCCATTCTCCTCTCGGGATCTTGGCACGCACACACATGCACCTGGCGTGAGTTTAAGCCACCAGGTCCAGGACTCAAACCACGGTCGACTATATGGGAGTCCAGTGACATAGCCATTATGCCAACTGCTGGTCCCCGGAAGAAAATATTCTAAATTTTAGGACTTTTCACTAGGTAGTAGAATTCAGCACAGTTCAGGTTTTGTTTTGTTTTTAATTTTTGCTATAGGGCACATGCGTTGGAGAGAGAGAGAGAGAGAGAGAAGGAAAGTGAAAAAGTACTTCCCAGTGAGGATGGCCATGCTGCAATCCCTTCTCTGTTCTCTTCTTCAGGATTTGGGGCATGCACACACACACATGCCCAGTGTGTTTTTTAAGCCAATGTGTCTGGGACTCAAACCGCACAGTCAACCACATGGGACTCAGTCACCTTAACCACCATGCCACCAGCTGTCCCACACAGTTTTAATATTGGGTGATTGGAAAAGTCATGACATTTTTTTCTATGTTTTTCTATGCAAAAACGCTCATGACTTTTGGACGACCCCATATTTATCTGTGTGTTTATGTCTACTTTTCAGTTTTACTTTTACGGAAATATACTACCCACACAATGAAAAGGTAATTTGAGAGGAACCAGCAAGTGACATGGTGGGTAAGGCACTGGGGCACTCCACATGGCTGACCACAGTTCAAGTCCCGGACCTGGTGGCTTGCTTTCTCACTTTCTCTCCCTCTCTCTCTCTCTCTTTCTCTCTCTCTCTCTGTCTCTCTCTGGTCAAATTAAAATAAATGAATAAATAAATAAAAATTTTTTAAAAAGTTATGAGAGACAAAGGCAGGAATAAGGGCAAGCAATGCCCTTAAATTGGGAACGACACCAAACTCAGCTCTACTTTAACCACTCGGAAATTGAACATTTTTATGATAACTGAAAGTACTACATTAAAGTCATCAAACAAACACTGCTGCCAATGTCACAAAAGGAGATTCAACCAAACAACGTGAGCCTCACAGAAGTTTGTAATGCCATCCCCGACACACTGCTGTGTGAAAAAATTAAAACTGAATTTGATGGGGCCAGCAGGTGGCATGGAGGTTAAGGTGCTGGACTCTCACAAGGCCATCCATGGTTCAAGTCCCAGACTTAACGGCTTCCTTTCTCACTTTTCCTGTCTTTGTCTTTCCCTGGCTAGCACATGTGCCCGATAGCAAATTTTAAAATAATAATAAATTAAATTAAATTTTAAAAAGCTGAATTTGATGAAACCTCTGGCTATAACTACCAATGGAGAGGATTCAGGGGACAAGGAACATGTTATACATTATAGGAAGCTCTCCTACAGGTAAAAAGAGACCCAGCTTCAACAAACACTGCACATAAGACAAATGAATATTAAAACTTAAGAAACTTAATCACCAATTTCATCAAGTGGACCTCATGTGGATTCTGATTTTCAATAGCCAAACACAATTTTTTGACATTTATGAAACAATTAGAAATTTAAACACTGAATGGATAATTATACTCTTAAGAAATTATTGCTGAGACCAGCAGGTGGCGTAATGGCTACATCGCTGGACTCCCACATAGTTGACCGCATTTTGAGTCCTGGACCGGTGGCTTAAAACTCACACCAGGAGCGTGTGTGTATGTGCTTAAAATCCCAAGAGTAGAATGGAAAAGGGATTGTGGCATGGCCATGCCCCCAGGGGGTGATTTCTTGCTTTCTATTTCTCTCCGTCTCTCTGGCGAGCGTATCAACACTATAGCAAAAATCTTTCTCTAAAAAAAAAAAGAAAGAAATTATTGCTAATTTTTAGTTGTGATAATAATATTGTTTGGCCTTTCTTGGTTTTTGTTTTTTTGTGTTTTGGTTTTTTTGTTTGCTTGTTTTTTGCTACAGGGCATGTGCACTTGCCAAAGAGACCAAGAAAGAGAGAAAGAAACTGAGAAATCACCGTCCCAGAGGGGGATGGCCATGCCGCAATCCCTTCTCCTCTCCTCTCAGAATTTTGGGCACACAAACGTGTGATTCTCAAGTCACCGGGTTGAGGACTCGAACTACAAAGTTAGTCATGTGGGATCCGGCACCTTAACCTGCACATAACCTACTGAACCTGGTTTTCTTTATTTTAAGTTGCCTGATTGTAATTGTGCATATTTATGGGGCACAACTGATAATATAAATGGACAAGGTAGAATGCTTAAATCAAGCTTACTAACATATCCAACACCTGAAATGCTTATCATTTTGTGTGACAAGAACATTTGAAATCTACTCTCATAACAATTTTTAAATATGCATTAACTAGAGTCACCATGCAGTGCAATAAATCTCAAAAAAATATGTTCCTCCTGTCACACTGACACTTTGTACTCTTTGAGCAACTTGTTCCCACCCTCCTCTTCCCCCAGCCCCTGGTAACCACCATTCTACTCTCTGCTTCTGAGGTCAACTGGTCTAGAGTCCACATATAAGTGAGATCAGCTGCTATTTGTCCTTCTGTACCTGGTTTATTTCACTGAGCATAATGTCCACCAGGTTCCTCCATGTTGTTGCAAATGACAGATTTTTTTCTTTCTTTCTTAAGGCTGACTACTATTCCATTTTTGTACCTTTACTACATTTTTTTATCCTTTCATTTGTTGATGGACACTCAGGTTGATTCCATGTCTTGGTTATTACGAATCATGCTGCAGTGAACATAGGAGTGTAGCTATTTCTCCAACACACTCATTTCAAATCCTTTGGATATGTACCCAGAAACGGGATTGCTGGATCATATGGTAATTCTACTTTCAGTCATTTAGGAATCTCCATACAGGTTTCCACAACAGCTACACTATGTTATACCCCCATCAACAATGTACAAGGGTTCTCTGTTCTCCATACCTTTCCCAGCACTTGCCTTTTTTGATAACTGCCATCCCGACAGGTGTGAGGTGATTTCTTACTGTGGCTTTAATAATGTATTCCCCTTATGATGAATGATGTTGAGCATTTTTTTGTGAATCTATTGGTCATATGTGTATCTTCTTTGGGGAAAAAAAAAGGGACTCAGGTTCCTTGCCCTTTTTTTAATATAAATTTGTATTTATTTATTTTTATTTTACTAATTCCCAGAGGGTGTATGCACTCATCAGACAGACAGAGAAAGAGAGAGAAAAAGAGATAGCCCTCCCCAGTGGGGCATGATCATGCCAAAATCCTTTTCCCTCCATTTTTCCATCTTATGAGGATTCTGGGCACACACAAAGGATGCACCATGTTTTCAAGCCACCAGTGTCAGGATTCAAATCTCAGTACGCCATGTGAGATCTGGCTCCCAAAGCATAGCACTTAACACTGAAAATGGGCCAGCCCCTTAAAAAAAAATTCAAACAAGGTCTATGCTATGTTGTAATCCTCCTGTCTCAGCCTCAAGTCACTGAGATGACAGGCATATGCCACTGCACCTGGTCTTCAGGTTGGACTGAGAATCAGACCTTATCTGTGGTCCCAGCCTGGAGCACAACATGTTAGCAGCATGCACCACCATACCTGTGCCTTTTTGCCCAGGATGTCTATTTTCTTGCTGTTGAGTTGTTTGAGTTCTTTAAATATTTTGGATATTAACCGCTTATCAGATCCATGTATCTGGACTACAAATATTTTCTCCCAATCTGTAGGTTGTCTCTTCACTCCATTAGTTGTTTCTGTTGCTGTGCAGAAGCTTTTTAGTTTGGTGGAACTCTCTTATTTTTCTTCTGTTGTCTGAGCTTTAGGGTCAAACCCCAAAAAATCATCGCCCAGACCATGTGTAACTTTTTGCCTGTTTTCTTCTTTTAGCATTATACTTTCAAGTTTTATGTTTAAGTCCTTTTGTTTTTAATTGCCAGAGAGTATGTGTGCTAGCCAAAGAGGAAAGATAGATAGGGAGAGAGAGACACCATCCTCCCAATGGGGTATGGTCAGGCTACAATCCCTTCTCCATTTCTCCATCCTATCAGGATTTTAGGCACATGCACATTTGCATGTACACACACGTTTTTTCAAGCCACCAGGACCAGGATTCAAACTGTAGTTTGCCATGTGGGACCTGACTCCCTCAACCACTAGGCTAAGAAGCTTACCAGTGTTTAAGTCTTTAGTTCATTTTGGATTGATTTCTGTATATGATCTGAGATAAGGGTCCAATTTAATTCTTCTATATTTGAATGCCCAGTTTGCCCAACCCCCTTTATTGAAGAGACTGGCCTCTTTGAATTGTGTGTTTTGGGCACCTTTGTCAAAAATCAATTGACCATAAATGTATGGGTTCATTTCTGGGTTCTCTATTCTTTTCCACTGATAAGTGTGTCTAATCTCATGCCAGTACTATGCTTTTTAAATTACTATAGCTTTGTAGTGTAGTTTGAAGTCAGGTAGCATGATACCACCAGCTGTGTTCTTTTTGCTCAAGATTGCTTTGGCTATTCAGGATATTTTTAGGAATTTTTTTTCTATTTCTGAGAAAAATGTAATAGAAAAATTGATAGGGATTTCATTGAATCTGGAATGTGGCTATTTTAACAATATTAATTCTTCCAATCCATAAACACGTGAATATCCTCCCATTTATGTATATCTTTTTCAGTTTCTTCCATTAGTGTTTTATAGTTTTTAGTAAGAGCTCTAGCATCTGTTGTCTCAATTAAATTTACTTCTAAGTATCTTATTGTTTTCTATGCTACTGTAAATGGAACTGTTTTCTTGATTTCTTTTACAGAATGTTCCTTTTTTATATATAGAAACACTGATTCTTTTTGTGTGGTCGTTCTGTATCCTGTGACTTTTCTAGATTCATTTACTAGTCCTAACAGTTTTTTGGTGGTAATGCGTGTTTAAGAGCCCTTATCTTTTTAGTAATACATAGTTTTTACAGATGAAG